CTCCCACCCCCTCCCAGATTCGCCAACGCTCAGATTAACGGGGATAAATTATCGTAACTGTTGCACTTTCAGCAATAGTTTTTCCCTCCTTCCTTTCTTTTTATTTATTTTCTTTTTCCTTTCTCTTTTTTTTTTTTGTGGATCATAGGCCTATATAGCGGAAGGAATGGGGCGACAGCTGCGCCCCTCCCGACCGGAATCTGCCTCAGCAAGTTGCATCAAACTGAGCTAATAATTCGTAAATCCGAATTAGTAATTCGAAATTACGAATTATTAATTTCGAAATTAAGAAATATTAATTCGAAATTACGAATTATAAGTTCGAAATTACGAATTATAAATTCGAAATTACAAATTATAAATTCGAAATTACGAATTATAAATTCAAAATTACGAATTAGTGATTCGAAATTATGAATTAGTAATTTGAAATTACGAATTAGGAATTTGAAATTACGAATTAGTAATTTGAAATATACGAATTAGTAATTCGAAATTACGAATTAGGGGCCTAGTAATTCGAAATAACGAATTAGTAATTCGAAATAACGAATTAGTAATAAATTACGAATTAGTAATTCGAAATTTCGAATTATAGTAATTCGAAATTACGAATTATTAATTCGAAATTAATTAATTCGAAATTACAAATTATAGTAATCGAAATTACGAATTAGTAATCCGAAATAACGAAAACTCGAAATAACGAATTAGTAATTTGAAATTTTGAATTAGTAATTCGAAATTTCGAATTTGTAATTTCGATTTACTAATTCGTAATTTCGAATTAGTGGCGCTAAATGCATACTTCTTTTGGCACGAATGGGCTTTCGTTATCAAAGATAGGCCTACTCTTTGAGATAATAGATATGCTATTTATAATTTCTAAAAATATCTTGGGGATTTTTCACTTGCCGGGTACGACGAAAAGAGAGAGCGTTTATTGTGTGTATGATTATTTTATTAACTCCCTTCCTTGTAAGATTTATTTTTATTTTCAGGTGAGTTATAATCAGATTACATTATTGCTGTACACTAATTATCAGATCTGACGCTAAATCATTAAGAAATGATGGTTTTTCTTTTTTTAAATTTCGGGCCTAGGCCTAGCCTAGGGGCCAGGCCTCCTCCTAGCCTAGGGGCCTAGCTCTGAATGATCAGTGTGGACCCAGGGTAGGGATGGAACATGGAGGAAATGGCAAAAGGCCGGTGGTAACGGGACTCGGTGGCAACGGGCATAGGGTGGCAACGGGCCTGGCGGAAACGGCCCGGGTCGCAAAAGGCCAGGTGGCAAAAGGCCTCCGGGTGGCAACGGGCTTAGGCCTAGGCCTAGGGTGGCAAACAAAGGCCGGGTGGCAGCGGGCAGGGTGGCAAAAGGCCGGGTGGCAACGGGCACGGGTGGCAACGGGCCAGAACCCATCTCAGATATTTCCATAGTTTGATATGCCCATCATACTGTATAGGCCCTATATGGGCCTAGTAGAGCGGCTAAGGTTGATTTTTGATAAGAATCGTGCACTTCTGGAAGAAAGCATGAAACTTCTCACAGTTGTTCTACAATACCAAAAGGTCATAAAAAAAAAATAGACCCCAAAAAATAAGACCCCCTAGTGGCCTTGAAATCCAAAATGGCTGCGAAAATATATCATTTTAGCCAATATCTTTTCATATGCACTTCAACTGTGATTCGAAGGCCTATTTACCCATTTTTTCAATATCAGTGAGTATCATTATCAATTGTGTCAGATGGCCGCCATATTGGATTTCAAGATGGCTGCCAAAAATATTAAATTTTTGCCCATTTCTTAATATCTACATCACCTATCATTATGAATCAAAGACCTTTACCCATTTTTTCAATATCAGGAAGTATCATGCAATCATCAGAAATTGTGTCAGATGGCTGCCATATTGGATTTCAAGATGGCTGCCAAAAAATATTAGAATTTTTTTACAATATCTTAATATCTACAGAAATATGTAACCAAAAATTTGAACTCAGGTAACCCCCATCTAAAGTTAATACAGTAGCTGTTACATTAAATTTAAGAACGGTTGCTATTCTAATAAATTAATATAATCACATATGTTTTAGCCCAGTTGCACATCATTTAGGCATACCTAAACCTCATAGCAGTTCCCGTCACACTTGCAAAGCTGGGTGCATTCTAAGTTGGTTTTGAAACACTTGCAATTTCCATTACAAGACTAGCTGCATTTGCATGAATTGAAATAAGTTCTTGGCATGCTTTCTCGGCAACAGGCAAACGTGGTCCATCAAGGTTTGAATCTATTTCCAATTGCTTCCCAACCCCAGTCTGTTAGTTCTGGAAGCAATGGTTGGAGCTGTAGTGCTTGGCCCCACACGTGTCCTGCTTGGTAAGCCGCTCTTTTTTGTGTTCTTCAAGAAAGGTCTTTGTCGGTGGGATGTTGTCAATATGCTCCTAGACATTTTAGAAAACAGTATCATTCGTGCAGTATCAACATGTGTCAGGTCACTTGTACATCAAAACAACAAACCTAACTAGGTTGTGAATGACATCCTTAGAAATATTTGGTGTAGACGGTGATGAAAGGAAGGTAAAGCTTTCTGAAACTGGAGGATGAAAGCCAGGTCTGCCAAGCAGACTTTTTGCCATAATTAGCAAAGTAAGAAGTTGTATCTGACCCTGTGAAAGCATGAAAAATTGGCAAACCCTTTGCCATCTGCGGACCCAATGCACGATAAATCTCATGAATTGGAAGATATTTAAAATTCTTGCCAGTTCCAAAAGCAATCCACAATTCTTCCAGGTTGATTAGAACATGCATTTTAGCCACAGCTAATACTACTATATCTGTGTCCACAGTTCTAATCATCATCTTTTTTATGCCACATTTCATCCCATCGAAAACATGAACAAATATTCTAGTGTCCGCCTCTTCATGTGAGCATGGTTGTAGTCTTTCTGTATTTTGTTCCAATTTCGAACAGACAACACCGTCACCTAATGTAGATATAATGACCTTTGCTTCTGTCACCCGAGAAACACTTTCATGTGCTAAGAAACGGAAAAGGTCTTCTTTGTTGTCATCATTTCTTAGAAAAATTTTCCAGTTTCCAGGAAGCCTTACATTAGGAGACACTCGTCTACGAGTACCAGTGCCTCTGTTTTCTCTGGTTTAAAGTTTCAGACTGTCCTTTATGTAAATGTCTTAAACAAGATCAACTCTTTGTATCTGCTCAAGCTGCAGTGATATATATGGCATGAATATTTGCTGAGCATATTGTTGAAATGTCTTTGATTCACCCACTGATAGTAAGTGCACCACTGCTGCACCATCAAATACTTTCATTTCAACGGATGGAGCATTCAAGCCAGTTGAACATATCTTGGATTCGAGACAACCAACAAGATCAGACTTCTTTCCTGTCCTCAGTTTTCCTGCTGCAGATATGGATGGTGGATATTGTTGGTTTTCATGTCTGAAGAATTCTTCAAGATTGCCTTCTCTTGACTGGCTTGAAACATACAGTCTAGCGAACAGTGCACAGTCACTTTTAAGTCCATTTAGCTTTAATTTATCTTTCGATGATACTACTTTATGTGGTCTGCTCAACAGAGGAAGTGAATTTCATCGTATTGTCGCACTTATTGGTTTCTCGCTTTTTACAAACCGTTCCTCTATGTATGACATGTACTGCTTCTCCCCAGTGTCTGTATTTTCTGTATACTATCGACAACACTTTTTGGCATGATATCCTGAGAATCAAGGGTGAGTAAGTCCTTACTTTCATCTAGAAAAGGATTACCCATTTCCTCAATTGTTGACACAAGTGCACGCACATCTTCTGCAAAAGAATTCTGTGTACTATCACTCTGCTCATGATGTGTGTCACTTTTACCACTACGCGAGTCTACTTTGTCTTCATATTCAACAAATATTGCTGACAACTGTGGTCCAGCTACCGCAAGGATCCTCTGTCAGACCAATAGCTCCACCATCTCCTTTTACATATGCATTCATTTGTTTATTACATTGATCAAGTCCGATGGTAGAGAAAGTATTTCCTGTTTTATTTGAAGTTAAATTACCCCGCATGAAATGATCGTAAACATTAGGGCATCTCTGACAAAGTGTAGACATGTCTCGTATGTGCACTGGAAGCCATCGTGCATAGTGAACATGATCCAATGCGAAGAACCAAGGTGCCAGTTTAGCTAAGCACTCCACGTACAAGTCAAAATCAGATGTTCGCAGAGCCCTCACGAAAGCCAGAACCATAAGCTCCAAGTCCAGTACTAAGCTCCAAAATAAGAACATTGGGTGATTAAGACGCATTCTTTCACACCACTCTGTAAAAGAATCTTCAGAGGGCATATCATCTGCAGAAAGTCTGTGGTTGTATGCTCGTTTTTTCAAAATATGTAAAGCGGCAGCGATTATCTAATGTGCCCTTCTCGTCTGTCTTGTGTGACGCATCTATGAAACTATCAGCTGTACCATCGGTTGCTACAGTATATTAGCCTGGGAAATTGCATTGGACCATCCACTCCCATCTATGAGGTCTCCAATTACTTTTAGGGCAGCCATTTCTGTGTGTAGAGTTTAGTTGCACATAGTCTTTAAGTTTAGTTGCACATAGTCGAACTGACATATCTATTCCCATTGTAGAAACTACATGGAGTCCAGCACTGCCAGCTACTTCACCACAGAAAAAGCACAAATGTTCATTCTTGGCATGGACATCATTTGTTTGAATGCTTGACCGTCGAGTTGTAACTGGGGTGCTGGCTTTACCTTCATTAATTTCAGGTTCATGTGGCCGTTTTACTGAACGCTGTAGCTTGTAGTCACTAAATTGATTTTTGCATGTCTTGTGCCATTACGCCCTATTTCTAAGTAAGGTTTCCTCTATTCCTGACCCATCATCAAATTTGTCAGGACATACGTTTAAAGGTATTTTGCCAAGTTCATTAAATTTGCCAATGTTCACGGCAAATGAATAATAACTTGTCCAGGCAGAGCCTCCACTTCCTCGTCCTCTACCTTTCCATGGTTGTACAAGGAATTCAGAGGTTTTCTTTTGACAAAGAATACACATAGTCCAATCTAGTGGTGCCCTCTCCACTGGATCACCAGGCTTTACAAGTTTAAACTGTTGGACATTTTTCTTGGCCGTGTTCTTTGCCCTTTCTACAGTACATATAGTTTGATATAAGAAAAAATGATGGGTGTGAATATGATATTATTGTGACAATTTTGAAGGATGGTTTATAAGATTTTAATGCGGGTGGGAGTAGTTCTCTCTCCCCTTCTTCAGCAAAGTTGATATGAAATTTGTTTTGTTTTTTTGTTATGGTAATGAACATATTTGGTATTAGACTATACATTTAGACCTCGAATATCAGTCTGCCCCCACCTATACATTTATCAAATAAATGTCATAATGCTCCACACCTAATTTATTTTCAGGCTTATTTTCTACTTGATTTTACTAAGCTTTGTTTATTTCTTGTGGAATGAACATAAAAAGTATTAAAAAAAATATACACAATTATGAAATAAGCTTATATATAGCAAACATCTGACACATGCCTAATTTTTGCTTACTGTAGGTATACAACTTTGCACAGAGCCTAATCACGCATCAGCTATTATTTCATTCAGAGGGGGAGGGCCCATTTACTGAGGGAGTAAGCATTCATCGGATTTTGTTGGTCATTTTTTGTTTCGTTTCTCCCTTTTACCTGTAACTGCAATACTGTTGATTGATATCTCTATAAAGTAGCTTATTACTTGCGATAAAAGATTTTAGATATGACCATTTTAAAGTAAATAAGAATGTTTGATTTAATGATTTTTGAAGCACAGTGCAGATATTGGCAAAAATCAAATATTTTGTAGGCCATCTTGAAATCTAATATGGCGGCTATATGACATAATATCTGAAAACTGCATGATGATCTCTGATATTGAAAACATGGGTAAAGATCTTTGATTCAAGGTGATGGCCGGGTGCTATTGATATAAAGATATTGGCAAAAATCAAATATTTTTGGCAGCCATTTTGAAATCCAATATGGCAGCCATCTGACACAATTTCTGATGATTGCATAATGCTCCCTGATATTGAAAACATGGGCAAGTCTTTGATTCATAGTGATAGATGCAATAGATATTACGATATTGGCAAGACAAATATTTTTGGCGGCCATCTTGAAATCCAATATAGCGGCCATCTGACACAATTTTTGATGATTGCATGATACTTACTGATATTGAAAACATGGGTAAAGGCCTTGGAATTACAGTTATAGGTGCTCTAGATATGAAGATATTGGCTAAAATGATATATTTTGGCAGCCATTTTGGATTTCAAGATGGCGGCCACTAGGGGGTCTATTTTTTTTATGATCCTTTGGTATTATAGAACAACTGTGGAAAGTTTCATCCTTTTTTCCAGAAGTGTACGATTATTCACCTTAGCCGCTCTACTACTAGATCATCGTAAGATATGCTTGTTACTGTAGATCCTTCATAGTTATTTATTTATAACACTGTACAGTACACATTGTATTTATGACACTGTTTCTCTAAGTGTATCCTTACATGACACACAGGCCAAATAGAATAATCTGGAATAAGTGCAGCTGCACTTATTCGTAAGCGGCACTTTAGTGAAAATAATCATGTTTTAGTGCAACATTTATTCGAGAGCGGTGTTTATTCAAGAGCAGCGCTTATTATGATTTACGGTACATAATTACAGTATTTGACTGTCACTGATTTGGCCTAGCGCGCTTGCACTTGTCAGCATCTGAAGAGATAAGACGAAAATGACTTTAAAAATTGAATAAAATAGAAAAAATATAATTCCTTAGATTTCTATTTTTTTTTTTTTTTTTTTTTTTTTGATTCCTAATATATATATATATTTTTTTTATTCCTAATATATTTATCTGAGGGCCTATGCTGTCAGTTTCATTTATGTAGCTTTCATATTTTTGCCACAACAAAAATAAAAATAAACAGTATAGCCTACTGATTTTCAGTCAGCATTTTTGCTATTCTAGCTGAATTTTGTGCCTACCAGGGTAGTGCGCCACCAGCATTTTGGCCAGGCCAAGGTAAATAAAGGGGTCTATTGTTAGTCAGGCAACCACCTGACCGGCCAGATCATATCCACCGCTCATGTTACACGGACCTACGGTAGACCTACTGTTTTGATGGGCAAAGTTTATTTTGGTAAGCTTTTTTTGGTAGACGAGGACAGGCTTTACCAAAAAATAAAAAAAGAACTTTCCTACACCGTCTGCTGGTATGATACTGAATACTGAACAATTAATTTGTCATTAGGCGAGACTTTTTTTATACCTTGTTTAGCGAACCCGCCGACTGCAAATATTGATGATTTCAAATAAAAAATTTTCATTTTTGGCCAATTAGCGCACCTGCTGCCACGAAATATTTCAGGAAAAAAAAAATTTGTTCTTTATTTTTATTACATCATCCGCTGTCTTGAAATCTCCAAAGATAAGATATGTATATATTTATAAATTATTATATAAATTTGAAGCATTTATTTAACCATCCTATTTGACATTCAATAATATTTTAATTTTATTTTCTCCTCTGTCTGGATGATTTTGGCAAAACTATTTGCTAAATAAGAAAACAAATTTTATTTTTATTTTTTTTTCCATCCTCCACCAAAAATCTTTTAATAAATAAGCAGGCCTACCCAAAACAGGAAGAAAAAAAAGTCTCACCTTAGGGCAAATAGAAAAATTTATTAGATTATCACTCCCATCCGCGTCAAAACTTCGGGAAATGTTTTTTTGCCGCATCAATTATTTTAACAGCATAAAAATAACAATGCAATTTTGTGACTTTAAATATATTTTCTTTAAAAAACTATAAAATTAAACCAATTTTTATACAATATTTACTATTAGAGACCAAATATAAACAGTCCCTCCCTCATCGATAAAAACAAAAGCGAAATAATCTATTGTTCGATTAAAAAAATAAATCAAGCCGTACCCACCCCCCATAAAAAAAAAAAAAAGAGTGATAATCTAATAATTTTTTCTATGTACCTTATAATAATAAACACTTATATAGTGCCAATTCAAAAATTTATCAAAGGTGCAGGAGAAAACAAACTCAGTAACATTTCTCAAAAAGGTGAAATTTTAAGTTCTTAAAAGAATATAAATTAGGCGAATTACGAACAGAAAAAGGAAGAGAATTCCACAGAGAAGGAGCTTGAACAGAAAAAGCACGTTGACCATATGTTTTGGTTTTGTTTCGAGGAGATGGAACTGTCAAAAGATTTTTTGAAGATGAACAAAGATGGCGGATATAGGTATATAAACCTTATATAGCAATAAGGTATAAAAAATGTACATGTATCAGAGGACTATTCTGAGGCCTATCTCTCTAGTGTGCGAATAATGCCAATGATACTAATCTTTCCTCCACTTATAATATCCATCTATCTAATGTCAATGATTAATTTTGGCCTTGGGCCTATTCTATGTATTTCCTCCGGGTTCCGGCCCGTTGCCACCCTAGCCGATTGCCATCCGGCCTTTTGCCACCCGGCCTTTTGCCTCCTGGCCCGTTGCCACCCAGCCTTTTGCCACCCCAGGCCCGTTGCCACCCGGCCTTTACCACACGGCATTTAGCCACCCTGCCTTTTGCCACCCTGGGCCCGTTGCCACCAAGGCCTTTTGCCACCCGGCCCGTTGCCGCCAGGCCCATTGCCGCCAGGCCTGTTGCCACCCTAGGCCCGTTGCCACCCGGCCTTTTGCCACCTTTGGGAAAGTCGAATATTTATTTTGGTGGGTTTTTTGCACAGATTTGTACTAGTATGCCTACTGTAGCAGGATTTTTTCTTGAATAAGTTTACTTTCCAGTTTAATATACAATTATTACTTTACTGTATTTCAAACAATCGTCCATGCGCTTTCTTACCACCAGGATAAAATTGCAGAAATAAACATCGTTATAAATCCGCTAAAAAAGAGAGAAATACTGCAGTGTTTTGTTTATTTTTATATTTTATTTTTAAGTACCGTATTCTTATTCTAAAATAAGAAGATATAGTCTGTGCTTTTACAATTAAAAAACAACACATTTATGATAATAATAGTTATTTATATAGTATAATCACAAGCCTATATTATGTGTGTATAACTTTATGGAATATATTTGGTATTTCTCTCTTTATGCGGACAATTTATTACAATCATATATATTTTCCCATGAGGAATAACCGTCAATGATAAACTTTGGATAAAGCTCATCTCATCAGCGGTAAACTACAAAGGATATTGCGCTCAGTAACATTAACGATCTGAGCAAACTAATCCTCCTGATTGTTTATACCGTGACTAGGGCTATTGTTCAGATTATAGGGTCTTAAAGTCTAATTTGCGTGGCCTTCAATTGGTCAGTTGGACATTTCCCCACCCATGTTTTTTCTATTAGTATACCAGAGCTATATATGATCATACATTTGACTTAATATCTTAAAAACAACAAATCGTGAGAGGTCTATGCCCATTTCTTATAGCGGTATCAGCATTAAAATATTCAACATGTTAATCATAATAGTTTATCATCGCTATTTTCATCTACATCTGAATACATACAAATAAAGATAGAACGCGAATCAGAAAGCACTTCACACGTCTGCCTTTCATGATGGTTAACCGCAATGAATTGTCGTTGTTTACAATCTTACAATCAATCCATTCATCCATTCAGTACACATAGTTTGGCAAAAATGCTGAGTAAATTACTTTTCATTATTTATATATAATGATGTGTTACCCTTTCCTTAATTATTTATAATGAAACCAGTAACCTTATTATATATAATGTTTGGTTACCCTTTCATTATTTATACATAATTAAATCAGTAAACTAATTATATATAATATTATATTATTATATTATATATATATAAATAATGAAAATGTTAACGCAATTATTTACATACAGTATCTTTTAGACGTATCGTAAATGCATTATATATAAATAATGGGTGATCTATTCAATTATATGTTAAATAATGAATTATATATAAATAATTGTGTTAAATAATAAATTTACACTTGGCGCCTCATAGGTAACAGCAGTTACTGTCTGTATAAATTCTAGTTTAGAGAATTTTGTAGTTCACTGACAGAATGAGATGTTACTAGGGTGCATGGTTTTGTTGGTAGTAACAGCAGATTCTGTTTTTATTTTGTTTTCAGTGCATAAAAGCTATTATGTACTATGTTGACTGGCCAAAGTACAAGACTCATGACTGACTCACTGATGTAAAGCAATCGAGGGCTGTGTGGTGTGTCCCAGGGCAAAGCCCCTATTTTTAGCTTTTTCAAGCCTTTTTTTTCAATTCAATTCAATTTAATGGATATCACTTTCGTAACAGTGGCACACGTTGGACAATACCCAACAGTGCATCCAAATATAAGAGGAAAATAATAAACTTAAACTAGGAGTAAATTAAACTAAAATGTATTTTAGGAATCAAAATTTGCTGGTACTTTACATTTTTTAGAAAATTCATCTACTGTATTTATTCCTACAATGAAAAGTTGCTCAATTATTCTTTAAAGTTGTGCAGACTATTAATTCTTAAATTAATTATCTTATTTCTTATGTACTAATTTATTTATCTTTCTAGCCTAGCACTCAGCAGATTTATTCACAATAGCTAAAGTATTAAGGCCTATTTTTTGGGCCCTGACGTTCTTGATAGACAATACTATCACTTCGTCACCTCAGGTAAATTTTTTTGTCAATTGCATTCTTTTCATTCAACTGTTATAAATATTGTATTCAGAATATTAAGATGCATTACTAGAGAAGTCCATCAAAAGTTGATACCAAGAAAGATTCTCAATTATAAGCAGCTTTGAGGGCTGTGCCATTGTAATTTGTACAATAACACCTACTGTACTAGGTGAGACAAGCTTCCATGTCATACAAAATTGGTTAAGCATAATAATGTCCCTATACTAGTAGTACTGTAGTAATACTTAGCTTAAATGTTCGTAGCTGTCTTGTATTTGAGGACATACTGGGGCAAATAACCACAACACCTCCGTTTTTCTTTTATTATTATGTTTTGACACAGTATGTCTGACCTGCATTTAGACTGCAACATGCCCTCAAGGAAATAATGGAAACACCTGTCATATTCAGGTACATTATTTTCTTGTGTGCTGCATCTTGGAATTTCCCCCTTTGTACTCAGGCATATTATTTTATTTAGTGCTGCCTGAATACAAGGGGTGATTCCATTAGTTTCTTTTATGCTTGAGGGTAAAAGAAATCTAATTTCCATGACCTTGACCTTGTCCAAAGTTGAACTTCTAAAAATTGAAGAGTGTCTATTTTTTATTATTATGTACCATTCCACTAAATTTTATGATGATCCATTCATTGGTCTTTACATAATCTTGCCAACAGACAAAAAGACAGCCTGACAAAAGATGAATACATAACCTCCTTTGGCGGAGGTAATAAAAACCAAATTTGGGACGCAAAAAATACACTACTGAGTGAAGAGCAATTAATTTTCTCTAAAACATAAATATTACTTGGACGATTATTTTTTATTTTTAAATATTAAGTAGGAAATTTGTGTGTTTTTACATTTTTAGGCCTATGATCAAGTGGCCCCAGTAACCCCAAGCCCCAGTCCACTGGCTGCACCGTTTGTACCTACAGTACTGTACTGTACTACTGCATATATGCCATTGACAGTCCCCCAATCATTACCGACATACAACAGTAAAACAATCCTATAATTTAATGTTAAGCCATTGCAAATACAGTACTTATTTCCAATTTTCTTAAAATAGCAATACCGTACCTGACACAATTTGCTCGGCACCAATCTAGAAGAGCTGAAAAGCAGCAATGAATCAGGATCAATCAAAAATTGGAAAACTCATGAATGACAATGAGCAACTGCAGATGGCTCTCTGCACTTTGGCTAACAATATTGGATCAAGTGATATGTGTATTCTAAGGTTAATTCTTCTGGACATTTTTAATATAGTTAAAACCAGCGCCCTCGAATATTTCACAGAGCTCCAAGAACGTGAAGAAATAACTATCAAAGATGTTTCTATAGTTTATGAGATTTTATTGTTGATGGGAAAAAGGAAATTGTGGACCGAATTTAGGAGAACATTGGTTGATGGTAGAGGAAATGGACATGATCATGCTTATAATGTCGAAAAAAATTCAACCCATTTCTCTGACTTTCGTCGGACTATGATTAAAATTGGGAAGCAGTTTACGGGCAAACTTGATTCGTTATCAATGATGTATACTGTTCCAGATGATATCACCAGCATTTGGATGACACTGATATACCTTGAGGATAAAAGAAAAGTGAACAGTGCAGAAGAAACATCTTTGTTAAAGTTTAAAAAAAAACTTACGGTTGCTGGTAGTCCGCAGGCAGGATGGACAATTCAACAATATGGTTAGTGAGCTTTAGAGCAGTGTTTTCTACAATATAATAGTAGAGCGGCTAAAAAGAATAATCGTGCACTTTTGGAAGAAAGCATTAAACTTCCCACAGTGGTACTATGACACCTAAGAATCATTGTTAAGTTCTGAGGACCCTTTTAAAAACATTTATAGAGGTTGAAGGAGCAGTTATTTCCTGACAAAAGGGCTGAAGGCCTTTTTTAAGGAAGTAGTGTCTGCTCGGGGATAGCAAAATTATGTGGGAATAAAAATGATGGCGTCACAACTGACTTATAATTATTTTTAGGCTTGTTCTAATGGGCCACTACATATACCCGTGGGACATATGCAGCCCGTGGGACATATGCGGCCCGCGGTACACCAGTTAAGAACCCCCACTTTAGAGACTAAGTATACCAGCTTCATTGAACTAAATTACACCAAACTATGGATCATGTCCTCTCTTATATTTGGAGTCTAGGTTTATTCTATGTTCTTTAATTACAGTATTAGGAATGTTGCTTTGCTCTACATGATTATCATACTGTGACTCAGTACATTCCCAAATACTGGCAAAAATATGTACCCAGGATGGGGTACACTAGTCAGTAAGCACAAGCTCTAGTTGTTATAACACAAGATGATCACCTGCAAGATTTTTTTGGAAATATTTGGGAACATACTGGATACACGGTACGAGAATACGTCAGGTAGGGCAAAACATCTTTCCTATTAAGTTTCCTAACACAAACACCTATTAAACTATCATTGTTCTTGTACTGTACAGTACCTGTACTCTATCAATATAGAATAATTTTGAATTGTTTGTACAATTTTATATTTTTTTTTTACATTATCTCAATGTAATATTTTAGTTGAAAGGAACTTTTCATCTCAAAGTCATGCATCTGAAAGCAGAAAACCAATAAATGCAGAAAGAAGTAAGTAAATTTAATTGAGATTTAGTAATGTTAATTTTTATGTTACCACTGTATAAACCACTCTAATTATTAGATAAATTTGTATTGAAACCAGGAGAATTTCATCTCCTCATTTGCATACTCCACATTTTTTTTCACTCTCATGCTTTATGATTTTTTCAAGATAAGAATAATACTAAATTTATATAGTTCATATTAATATTATTTCATAGGATTTATATAGCGCACATATCAAAAAGTTCAAGGCGCTTTTTTCCTGGTCATTGGATACAGAATCAATCATGCACAACATGCAACCTCCTCCGCCCCCGAGGGAGTATTCCTAGTTTAATGCATGTAATCAGCACTACTTATTTCATTCCAAATCAGACCACCAACCAGATACCCATTTTTACTCCTGGCTGAAGAGAGACAATTGCAGATAAAGAGTCTAGTGCCCAATTAAGACACAAGCAGTGTGATGAGCATTGATCTTGGACCCTTCGACCACTCCTAAAGGCCAAATCAGACAGCTTTGTACGATGCAGCCCGAAGCAATTCATTGTTGGAGACAGTCTTAAGCCGTCGTGAGAAATATTGGACATGTTTATTATTATAGTACGTCGCGAATGCCCCGATGCAAACAATTGTGTCTGCTTTTAACTCACACCAGTAGTGTAACGCCTATTTGCTCTTGTGCAACGGTCTGCTGGGCCCCTGACCCCTAGGGGCTCTAAACCATAGGGTCTTTGATCTAGCACCCTGACCCAAAAGATACATAACAGCATAACGTGTCTGACCTCGACTGTAAGACATATATTATATCCAGTGACTGATTAAAGTGGGGGAAACTGCCAGGGTCTCCCTATATTTGTGGGAAAAAAATGTCTGAGTGCCAATTCCGGCCATTTAGAGGTGGCATAATCATAAATTTGACATCAGCCCCAACGATGTTGGGGCTAAAATGGTACAAACGCTCCATCTGTGCGAGTCCCTCCAGGCACCCTCTTTTTCAAATTCCTGTATCCGCCACAGATATCGTATCATTCATTTTGTCATTAAAAAAATGTAGAGTACAATGAAAAGCATGATTAAAAACGAGCATAAAATCCCATTATGAAAGTCGGGAGGACGCAAAAAAGGCCCCGTGTCTCATAAAGCCACAGAACCCCCGCCACAATCTTTACTGTACTGACTCGGACCCGCCTCGACAACAAGTCGCATCGGGCTGCTTCGTACAACACTGTCTGAGTTGGCCTTTACATGCTGCGCCACATTGCATGTGTTATCACCGAGGAGTGAGAGAATGATTAATAAAAAATTAATTAAAAAAAATATATATAAAACTACTTCTATGCATGAGTCAATAACTATTGAAATGTTGAAAATCATGGCCTCTATATATTTGAAGTTTATTTTGTTATTTATCACATCACATGTTATATGTAATTTTTAAATAATTTTGAATTATTAGTCCAAATAACTTTTTATTTTTTTATTTAACTCAATCTAATATTTTAGTGGAAAGGAACTCCTCATCTCAAACTAAAACATCTGAACAGATGCATTCAGAACCTGAAAGCACAAAACCAATACATGCTAAAGAAAAAAGTAAGTGATTAGCCTTCTCGTGTTGTTTTTACCTGTGTTTTTATGTTGTCATTGCTGCTTTGCAACTTTGCATGATCATCAGACGTTCAAATATATTCAATCTACAAACTTGTCCCGGGTGTTATTATCTAGTGATATGACACCGAGATCGTGTTGTTTGTTACCGTGATAACTAAAGTTTGGTAAAGCTGATTGGTTTCAAACTTGGCAGAATGCAAGATGGTAATAAAAAGACAGAGGGTACCTGTTTGAATGTGCTAATTACTCACATAATTGATATTTCACTATATCAGGTTATTTATGCTAGTTACCACAATAATTAAAGTTTGGTAAGTCTGATTGGTTTCAAACTTGGCAGAATGCAAGATAATAAGAAGACAGAGTCTGTGGTTTTTGGTACATGTGAGAATATGCTAATTGATCATTGGCATAATTAATATTTCAGAACCTTGGCCCTCTGAACCATAGGATGTCCACAACCCCACTTTAGTAAATGCTGGCTTATGGCCTGAATATTGTAATTTTAAAACACTGTTACATCCAGGTCCACTGCATATGTTCCGTATTCTAGCAAAGGCTATAAGTATTTAATAAACAAATGTTAATGTTAAATTCAGAAAGTTCTACATTACTCACTACCCAGTTCTACAATTAATGCCTGAATAAATGGAAGAATCCAGTACTAGTTTGTGACTTCTGAGGTTGATGATTGAGATATTTGAGGGTATAGTTATTCAAGAGTAGATATATACAGTAGGTATATTTTGGTAGTGATCTAAATGCAAACACTGTTTCATTAATGTTGAGATGACCACAGAATACTTTATCATATAACATTGAACAATATTTTTGAAACCATACATGTATAGGAGATGAAATACCTGTAGATTATGTGCTTCTCACTTCCACCCAATTAACTTTGTGTATGTCATTTACGATTTTTTTAGCCTTAGGGTACATATTATATTTTCGCTCTGCTATCAATTTCTAGAATAAATTTATGCATGCACAAGTGACTCTCGCATAATATCTTCCTACATTACAGTTGTTCCATTAGGCCAAAAAAAAAAATTATTTTGTCGGTCACGCCCGCCCGACCCAAATTTTACGAAATTAATGGTCGGCATTTTAGTTTGGGTTTTTTTTTTTTTTTTGACAACAAACAATATTTTTTTTATAAGCAAATAAGGTTGGAATACCCTTGACGAGTTTAAAGGGCTGATGCTAGCCTATTTTGCTGGATGGTATCCAGAATTGGATGGTGAATCCAGAATTGTTGTATTATTTGTGTATTTTCTACTTTTTAGGCATTAACACTTTTTGGTTGTAAAAAAAAAAAAAAATTTCTACCGACCTACTCATTTTTTTGGATTTTCTCATAAGGTGGCCAACACAATTTTTTTTTTTTGGGCCTTATAGTTGACCCCTAGGAGCTCTAAACTATAGGGTCTTTGATCTAGCACCCTGACCCAAATGATACATAACAGCATAACGTGTCTGACCTCGACTGTAGGACATATATTATATCCAGTGACTGATTAAAGTGGGGGAAACTGCCAGGGTCCCCTATATTTGTGGGAAAAAAATGTCTGAGTGCCAATTCCGGCCATTTAGAGGTGGCATAATCATAAATTTGACATCAGCCCCAACGCTGTTGGGGCTAATATGGTACAAACGCTCCATCTGTGCGAGTCCCTCCAGGCACCCTCTTTTTCAAATTCCTGTATCCGCCACAGATATCGTATCATTCATTTTGTCATTAAAAACATGTAGAATACAATGAAAAGCATGATTAAAAACGAGCATAAAATCCCATTATGAAAGTCGGGAGGACGCAAAAAAGGCCCCGTGTCTCATAAAGCCACATAACCCCCGCCACAATCTTTACTGTACTGACTCGGACCCGCCTCGACAACAACTCGCATCGGGCTGCTTCGTACGACACTGTCTGAGTTGGCCTTTACATGCTGCGCCACATTATTATTATTATTATTTGGGTATATTTTATTGAGATAAAAAACATCGAAAACACAATCTTTGGCAGCATTCAGCTGAATTGTAGATTGGGTAATTACAATAAAATCTATAAAATTTGTGATAAGACTAATAAATGTACAGTATATAAAAATATGACACAGTCAAAAAACACTAAAAATACAAAGAGTAAAAAACAATTTTACATCACACTTTACTCCTGAGCTATATATAATATCCAGATTATTCAGACTGGGGGGTTCATCCCTCACAGGACCTCACAATGAATTGAGAATTCGTGCCATGTAAGGTATCGGGCTATTTTTGTATCGGGATTTAGTACATTTGTATTCACTATATTGTTTTTTTTTTCGTAATGACATATTATGCAATTTGCTTAAGTTTATTTCCCGAGCATAGGCCATTAATGTTTAGTTTGTTCAGATCTCCACATATTAATATACCGGCTTGTGAGTACGAGGTGCGAACAACGTCAACTCCATTATACAAGTGATTCAAAACTGTGTTACCATGTACAGATTCATAGCCGGAAGGGAGATAAACATTGGCAACAATAAAATAGGGGGATCTTCTAGGAAATCGTGGGTGATTTACAATGAACCACGCTTCTACATTTATTGTACATTGCATGTGTTATCACCGAGGAGTGAGAGAATGATTAATAAAAAATTAATTAAAAAATATATATATAAAACTACTTCTATGCATGAGTCAATAACTATTGAAATGTTGAAAATCATGGCCTCTATATATTTGAAGTTTATTTTGTTATTTATCACATCACATGTTATATGTAATTTTTAAATAATTTTGAATTATTAGTCCAAATAACTTTTTTTATTTTTTATTTAACTCAATCTAATATTTTAGTGGAAAGGAACTCCTCATCTCAAACTAAAACAACTGAACAGATGCATTCAGAACCTGAAAGCACAAAACCAATACATGCTAAAGGAAAAAGTAAGTGATTAGCCTTCTCATGTTGTTTTTACCTGTGTTTTTATGTTGTTTTCATTGCTGCTTTGCAACCTTTGCATGATCATCAGACCTTCAAATAAATTCAATCTACAAACTTGTCCCGGGTGTTATTATCTAGAGATATGACACCGAGATCGTTCGTTTGTTACCGTGATAACTAAAGTTTGGTAAAGCTGATTGGTTTCAAACTTGGCAGAATGCAAGATGGTAATAAGAAGACAGAGTCTATGGTTTTTGGTACATGTGAGAATATGCTAATTGATCATTGGCATAATTAATATTTCAGAACCTTGGCCTTCTGAACCATAGGATGTCCACAACCCCACTTTAGTAAATGCTGGCTTATGGCCTGAATATTGTAATTTTAAAACACTGTTACATCCAGGTCCACTGCATATGTTCCGTATTCTAGCAAAGGTTATAAGTATTTAATAAACAAATGTTAATGTTAAATTCAGAAAGTTCTACATTACTCACTACCCACCATACATGTATAGGAGATGAAATACCTGTAGATTATGTGCTTCTCACTTCCACCCAATTAACTTTGTGTATGTCATTTACGATTTTTTTAGCCTTAGGGTACATATTATATTTTTGCTCTGCTATCAATTTCTAGAATAAATTTATGCATGCACAAGTGACTCTCGCATAATATCTTCTTCAGCATTACAGTTGTTCCATTAGGCCAAAAAAAAAAAGAATTGTTGTGTCGGTCACGCCCGCCCAACCCAAATTTTACGAAATTAATGGTCGGCATTTTAGTTTTTTTTTTTTTTTTTGACAACAAACAATATTTTTTTTATAAGCAAATAAGGTTGGAATACCCTTGACGAGTTTAAAGGGCTGAGGCTAGCCTATTTTGCTAGATGGTATCCAGAATTGGATGGTGAATCCAGAATTGTTGTATTATTTGTGTATTTTCTACTTTTTAGGCATAAACACTTATTTGGTTGTAAAAAAAAAAAAATTTTTTTCTACCGACCTACTCATTTTTTGGATTTTCTCATAACGTGGCCAACACAATTTTTTTTTTTTTTGGGGGGGGGGGGCCTTATAGTTGATTTCAAGCAGAGAGTAAAGAGCCATCCTGATATCATGAAAAAATAGATATATATCAGGTTAAATCAGACAAAATGTACTCAAAATGTAATTTCAACAGAACAATATCATTGATAATATTTTTTGTTTGCGTACATATTATTCCTCTTCAGGGAGGTCGCTTGAAATCAATAATCTGACAATAGAAGTAAAGAAAAGACAACAAAGAGTTGAGGCAATGGAAAAGAAAATAAGGTCATCAGCGGAAGAATGCTGCAGAATGATTAAGGAGACTGGAGAACAGTTAAAAAATAAGATTGATCTTTGTGTAAGTACACAAATTGATGATCTTGAAAACATGAAAGGTAATAAACTCAAAAAGCTTGACCAGATAGGCATAAGCTTGAAAGTGTATTCACAACAGATTGAAGAAATGAGAAATGCATTGGAGCACCAACTCCCTTCATGTAACTCCTTAAACTTGGAGAAGGTTGATAAAAGTCTTTGTGAAGTGTATCCAGAGGTTCATGGCTACTTTAACATAAACAACAAAAACATTTCAAAGGATTCAAGCAAATTTAAAGACAATGTATGCAAGTATTATGTTGATTATAAACCTGTAGATCCTGATAAATGTTCTGTGAATTTTCATGATCTAAACAATAGATGCTTTAATATTAATGAAACCATAAGATTAGAAGTAGTATTAAAAGATTCACAAGACAAACCTGTTAGTGAAGAACATGAGAGTGCTCCTGTAAAAGTTTGTGCTCAATTGCAAGAAGACCTTGAAAATTTAAAATCCAATTCAAATTATGAATTTTCTAAAATCCCAGGTCAAAAATTTCCTACATTTGAACTTAAGTTTACAAATACAGGATTGTGGAAACTCTCTGTATTTGTGTGTGGTGAAATGGTTCCCAAACCCATCAATTTAAAGATTTTATCTGATGAAGGATTGAAGAAAATTATTCCTCTGAATACTAAGGAATTTAGAGGTGGACCTATTTTTGATGTGTGCTTTACGTCAAATGGGAAGTACCTTCTTGCTTGCAACTTCACAGATACAATCTTTTCATTTGACTTAAATGGTCTCCGTTTATTTTCAGTTGGGGAGGATAAAAAGATTGCAAATTTGTGTTCCATTGATGATGGTCATGTTTTTCTAACATAAACTACAGAAAGGGAAATAGTTGTTCTTGATCATAAATTTAATGTAAAGGACCAATTTGGCAAAGATAATTTTAAAGATGGTAGCCCCCAAGGAATTGCTGCAACATGCAAACAAGGTGCTGTGCATGTATTTGTGTCAGATAATAAAAGTGAATGTGTACATCACTATGAGAACCAATTGCTTATAGACACTATAGTAAATCTTCCTACTCCAAATCCAAGAACAATTACACCTTGGTTTCTTGATGTTAACAAAGACCTACAGCTGTTCATCTGTAATAATAAAAGGACAGTAACATCATCATCAGACCAAAAACGCTCAAATCAGAAGAATATTTGCTATGTTGTAATAGTTGATATGAATTCAAAAACATTAGTAAATTCCCTAAAATGTGATTCTGCAGTTTGTATTGACGAACAATGTAATGTTTTCCTAGGAATGAATATTGGGGTTAAAATGTTTGACAAAAATTTGGAATTTATTAAGGAATTTGCTTGTAATTGTGACAGCTCTTATGGAATTTCAGCATTTAAAGGTTGTCTTGCTGTGGTCTTCCCAGGCTCAATCAAATTCTACCGATATTAATCATGGGCCAATATGAATTTAATAAAATTTAACTAAAGTGGTATGAAATTATGTGGCATTCCCTTATCACAGTAAGAGTACAGTAATAATTTTGACAGCATGTATACAGAGTAGTTTGTACATTCCTATGGCTGATTTTGGAGTTATCCCTGACCTGTGCGGCTTGTGTTGACACCAAAAATCACAAGTCCAAATTTGGTTCTCTTAAAAAATGGTCCTGAATTTGAGGTGTCTCAAATTGGAGAGTGCAATGTAATTAATGAAATATTAGTATCATAAGATAATTATATCAACTAGAGTTGTATTAATAAAAATGAATCTTTTTACACAATCTTTACTTATGGTGATACAACTACATATTGTTCCCTTTGTATATTATGTTTTCTCTAATTGTATTTTTACCATTGATGTTTTATTGAAAATAAAATTTTATGATTTTCAAAGATATTCAAATATACCATAATTCAATTAAAGTTGCTCTATAACTGTATACAGGGGTCCCACTGAGTCTTGTTTGAGTTGTGGAAATATCCTGGAAATTGAGACAGCCTCTGCACTCCCACAAAAAAAAAAAAATCTCCTGGAAACTAACCATCTCCTGCAAATGCATATTTAAATGTTTTATACTCTGTTATCACTTAATATTAGATGTGTTGTAATTTAATCTCATTTAACCAGATCTCCCTGAAATGGCTTTTGTCAGCTTGTGACCCCTGCTTTGCTAGTAATTGTGAGCAACTTGCAGAAATATGATTTACTCTTAAATTCAGGCTCCTGAGGCAAACAAATTTTTGATATGATGTACAACTGATTTTTCTAAGACAGAAAAAAAGTTGTGTGACGAAAAACTGGGAAACCGTAAAAACTGGGGGAAAAATTATGTAATCGCCTTTTTTAAAGTTTTTAAATATTCAAAAATCTGTATCTCATTCACTGTTCCCCAGTTTTTCATCAAACAATTTTTCTGTCTTAGAAAAATCAGTTCTACAACATGACAAAAAATTTTTTTCCTTTGAAGTCTGGCTTTAAATAGCTAACTTTGTACAAATATTTAATTAAGTTTTACTGTAGAGTAATTTCAAATAAGAAGTTTAAAAAGCAATATATTGACAATAAGCATGCTTAATATTCAATATATAAAATCTTGGATTATAAATATAGGGGTGGATCCACAGAAGAAACATGATTTTTCTTTTTTACGACAGATACACCTTATAATTGCTCTTATATTTGAAGTGTCCATATTATATCAGGAAGCTTAAATGAAGGCAAAATCTTAATTCATTGTTGAACAATCAATCTCTAGCTTAAGTAGTTCACACAATAATCTTTCCCAAAACTGATTTAGTAATAATTTTGCTAAATAAAAAAAATATTGCATTTTTTGTTGTGACAACTTGATGCACTGTGAAATTCAAATTCTAAACAAAAGAAGTACTGTATTGTACTATTTTATATGCATATTTTACCAAAAGTATTTGTTATACTGTACTTTGTATTATAATGTAGACTTAAAAAATGTTTGTATTTTTAGAGTTCAAAGTATAGTACTATATATTTTTTTCGAATTATTAAATGAAGTTACTGTTAATACAAGGTTTTAATACAAAGTAATTTAATTTCATAATTAACCTGCCCTCAAATCATGAGTTTAAATTTTAAAATGTTTTCTCATGACTCAAAAAACAACTTGCATTATCAAGACGTAGTTTATTCCATCTTGTAAAGTTCACACAATAATCTTTCAAAACTGATTTAGTAATAATTTTGCTAAATAAAAAAAGTATTGCATTTTTTGTTTTGACAACTTGATGCACGGTGAAATTCAGATTCAAAACAAAAGAAGTACTGTTGTACTATTTTATATGCATATTTTACCAAAAGTATTTGTTATACTGTACTTGTATTATAATGTAGACTTAAAAAATGTTTGTATTTTTAGAGTTCAAAGTATAGTACTATATTTTTTTTTTCGAATTTTTAAATGAAGTTACTGGTAATACAAGGTTTTAATACAAAGTAATTTAATTTCATAATTAACCTGCCCTCAAATCATGAGTTTAAATTTTAAAATGTTTTCTCATGACTCAAAAAACAACTTGTATTATCAAGACGTAGTTTATTCCATCTTGTAAAGTTGCATGTTGCGAGGGTAGTGGCTATCGGCACTGCCGCAGTGCCAAAAAAAGCTGCTGTTTTCTATCGGCACTGCCGCAGTGCTAAAAAGCTGCCGTTTTCTATCGGCACTGCCGCATGCCAAAAAGTTGCTGTTTTCTATCGGCACTG